CTCACTAATCGTGATCGAGCACCTAATTTGTCTTCGTTCAAAAACAATGACTTTCCCCTCCCCGTCATAAAAAATACACAGATGCCGCATCAAATAATCGCGTTGTCCATATATTAAGGCACGTTTTAGTGTTCACCGTGTTCTACATCAACGCAACTACAAAAGAATCGGTGGGGGAATGATGTATATTTATACTGTTGAGGTGTTGAGGGACTGTGATTTAGGAATACGATACAAAGCTGTCGCAGTGCCAATTATGTAGAGAGTCGCATCATATACTAATCGTGCTTTTGACTCTAAAAAAGCAAATACTGACAATCCTATACAGCGAATGTTAAACATAGCATACTAGTATCTTCCAAACTGTATTAAACATAGCTGTTTTGTGTTTTCAGCTGGTTGGATCTTGTTGCATTGATTTATATTTACATTCAGCGTTAATTCGTGAGCTCGGTCCTATTATTTGGTAAATCCTGGCAATATGTTGGCTTATACACAATGACGCCAGGTCCCAATTTTTTTTTTTTATTTTCCGACAAATTTGAATTGTTTGATCATGAGCCCGGGCACGCGTCCGGTGGCGAAATAGCTTACGACTGCGTTCTTCAAACTTGTCTAGAGACGGAAGAATTCTCGAATAATGAAATACTCGTATAATTCGCTCCATGCAAAATATGCAATACTTGAGTTTCAGTCGTTGGGATAAAAACGCCATCTTTTAATAAACTCCAGTCGCGTGTTCTACAGGTGCGCTGAACAGTGCTTGAATTGAACAAAAGACTTACTAGTGTATTTTGTGTTTACATTTCTATGTCACTGTATTTCTGATTACATAGATTATGAGGAGAACAAAGGTGTCATCACGTGCCGGGTTCACATATGTGCCTTGTGACCCTTTACGCCGACGTAACTTACGTCGACGTAAGAGAAAACCAGATGCGAACACTTCACGTATCGGCGTAAAGGGGGTTTAATAAGGTTAAGTTAAACATTGCCTATCTACGAGTCCAGTGCCACTGGCCTCCATTTTCACACCCCTTGTAGAGTACGGTAGAGCATGGAACTACAAACAATGTTTGTAGTTTGTAGTTCCATGGGTAGAGTGAGTTTGTGTGTGGGGTAGTGAACACAGCATCATGAGACACTTATCTTTTCAATTGCCAGGCGCAACTTAAGCCGCCGTAACTTTTTCTACTGGAATCACGGTATTCACAGTTTGTTTTATCATAAACCTTAGAAAACATCTTTTCTAAGGTCTACGGGTTTTATCTACTTGTTGGCATACGCTTATAATACAGTGTTCACATGTGCAGTAAAACATGTACAGGGTTCGATCCAGAGTTAATTTTAACCAATGTTGAAAAACAGATGTCACCCGGGGTAGTTTAGCTCGGAGTCAGAGGATTGGTCTCGACCCAAAGTTCCGTACTCAACTGAGATGAGACACGTGTGAACAAAGTCTCGGGGTTAAAACAACGCCCTCTTGCACCAACCCAATAGGAGGGATATGTTAGATCAGTAAGCAGGTTTAGCCCAATGATAAGAAATATTTACAGTGGGAGCTAGCCCTCTGTTTGTCAGCACAGAGTAAATCATAATATCAAGCTATGGGTTCGTCTTCATGTTCTTATGTGCTGGCATAATATAGGACACAGAAACTATAAATATCTTTAAAATGGATTCTGCGCACCATCATGAGTAGGATTTTTAGAAACACTGCTCGTAGGTAGTTTCAAAAGCAGGCAGTGTTTACACCTCCATTGTTTCGATGTCGCCCACGAACTTCACGTGACGCATCGTCCAAAAACAGCTTCTGTTGTTAAAATGACTGTTATATATCCCTCGTGATTATCTAAACTTTACATCAAAACCCGTAAAATCGTTTTTGTAGACAACATACATGCACGCACCTTACATTCTGAGAATTAACCAGTACTAGGTTGTTGAATACATAAATAATATCCAGAGAAAAATCCGCGAGGCACGGACACTTATATGTAAGGGTTGGAACTCATAATGCTACGTCATACGGCAACCGAATACACGATGCATCAATTCGCACTGAAACACTAATATGCGGTTACCTTGACAATCCTTCCGACGTGTGCTGGTATATTACGTAACTGCCGCAGCTAACATTACACATCCAGATGCTCATCAATTTGTTATTAAATTCAATTCAAAAAACTATGCGATGAATGAGCATTGCTGCAGCACATTCTGAATTTTGCGCATTTTGAATTTTTCTCGCATGAAAGCACAGATTATTCCAGCTGGCAGTCACAAGATATATAAAGTCGTACTACGTTTATGGAAACGCGAAAAAAACCTCCCAAAAATTCGGTTCCAGAAAACGACCAAGTGGGCATCACTCATATCACGCGTTCCTCTGAAATGTACAGTTTGTGTCTAGGAAGCTGGAATATGAAATATACATAGAATTGTATATTGTAAATTCTTTCGAAATAGCAATGTACTATATCAAATAGATAAAGGTGACACAATGAGGATTCATAAATCCCCACAAATTATTTCTGACTGGTGCCTGGTTTCTACTCTTTTTAACAACCAATCAGTTGATCAATACTGATATATCGTTACTCACAACAAAATGTGAGTTTATTACTTCGCAATAATCTTTGACTCGACACGCTGGGCATCTACGATTGAATGCGGCACTGTCGGCACCAATCAAAACCGGGTGCATCAGGGATGTGTTCTCGCATTACGATCGACGCGCCCACTGTGAATAGTTCCAATCATCAATGAATACTTAACACAATTTCAATTTAAGAAACCATGTTGGTATGAATGTCGATGAAATGAAACATATGCGCGTCTGCTCATGCGTACTTAGTAACACTATTTGTGAAAAAGTGAAAAAATTCCATCACGATAATAGAATTGCTGTTTTTATTTTCTGACGGTAGCACATTCCCACCATAAGTTGGGCATAAAACATACGATATGTTGTGACAACATTCGATTTAAAATTCATTCTCGTGGCTATAAATACCTCAATCGGTATCGTTTCATAATTCAATCCACGTAACATCGACTGTGTTTTAATAAGGGATATATCGTCACCCTTATTGAGTTACATGAAATCACGGAGTTGTATTCATATGCATATTTATTAATTTTAGATACTTGGGCTATGCATCTATGTTATCTAGATGCTTTGCAGAAACAAAACAGAAACACAAATCTCCCAAACTAAATACGACAGCGGAGTACGGGAGCTGCCACTGTCTGTGTCTGAGTTTTGCGCCAATTAGTGTAATCTTATTTTATACCGACATCACGTGAAAGATGATTTAATTGTCTGTCGCGGATCAGAACCTAATCATCTTCCAGCCACTTACTGACGTGTTGATATTTAGCATATATTTTGAATGAAATGTGACGTTAAGGAGTTGGCCAATAGAAATGTTTTGTTGTTTGCTGGATGGGGAGGGGGGTCATTCATTCTACACATATGACTTATAAACACGTTTGAAAGTGAAAAGCTGACATTAAACAATAACATCTTCCTGAAATAGTCGCAATTCAAAATAAGCAAAGAAGAAAATACACACTTATTTTTTTATTACCACCACCCTCCCGGAGTTTTTCCAATGCTCAACACTAATTCTTTGTCTACGGTCTCCCGCTGCTGTGTGAAATGTCAAATTAATATTAAGAGTCAAAATAGGCGATGTTCTAAATAATTTTCGAGTCCCACACTATACAGCTTGGCTTATAAGGAATGCTTCAATCTAGCTCAAGGTGTTGCGTTGGTTTATCTTTAATACACTACGAGTTATTGCATACGATATGATAGTGTTGCTTCAGTACGGCTGGGATACACGTAGTTATGCGACTGCGATTCAATATCGATTACGGCCACTTTACGTGCGTTGTATGTGTTCTTGGTTATTACGCAATTTAATTTAAATTCCTGATAAAAAATAAAACAAGCACACATACTTGACCCCTTATGTCGCCAGTAATAGAACCTGTAATATTAGATATTACTAAATACTTGATTTCATATAGACAGGCGGCATACTGTTCGTATCGATGCTAAATAGTCTTATTTGCTTATGACGTCATCGATGTCTCATATAGACTAATCTCCTTATGGCTACTTAGCTTCTATCCCAGGTAAGACTGAATACCCGGGTTACGTATATACATGCCGGAACGTGTATAGTGTAGCTTTGATTTCTTATAGAGATTTCGACTTCTGTATACTGTATGTACCGATGTGACATGCACCCTCTCCGTTCATTGTTCATTGTCTGAAACGTTCCAAACTTGTTTGACGATAAAATACACCGACAATAATTAAATATTACTCAGGAAACGGAGATATCATGGAAAAAATAAATAATCAATTTGTTTTAGAACGAGAATATTGGTTGCATGAAATATTATCTTCGTCTATTAAAATGTGTGTCTTAATCGGTTTTATGTGTACGTGCTTTGGTGCAAACAAGTTTTTGTATTATGTTCACTCCATGCCATCTTGCTTATGTCGCTCCAAACCTTCCACGGT